ATATACTAACAGTCTACTTTAAAACAACACACTAAGGGTAATAATAATAATTGTTTGCTACAAAGCCATGCAGTACTTTTATTTTTATTTTATCAAAACGCAATTTTACAAAATGTAATCATTTTGGATTTACATTAATTTAAATATTTTATATATTTGATGGCTATATAAAATAATTCCCTCTGAACACTCCTTAACAGGCAACTAACATGGTTACGTAATATACCTCTTTAGCAGTAAATATCATAGGCTTCACATAGTAACCTGTCCTTCCTCGCTTTATTTACTGCCACTTATATTTCAATTTCACCCCATGTTCCAAGCTCTGCTACCACTGTCCAGCTCATAGCCCCCAACAGACGCTGACACTAGCCAAACGCCCCTGCACAATGTGCTCGTATACCCGAGGCCTGTCCGCAGCTTGGGAGCTGATGTTTGTCCAGTGGAGCACAGACCGATCAACTGGTTGTTGTTATTGTTGTTGTTGTTGTTGGGCTCGTGGTGCATTTGAAAGTGGTTTTTGGGGCCATTGCATAAGTGCACCAAATTCCAACAACAAACAAGCAAACAGCCGCAAGCAACACCAAAAGTAACAACAACAACAACAACAACAAACAAGCAGACCTCGTTTCTAATGGTATCTAAATCGGTAACAATATTTACTATATCATTCTTTGGGCCCGTCCGCTTTTTATAAGCCAAAGTGTTGACGTAATGCGCTGCGATTATTGCTGAATATTTGATTTGGCTGCGATTGGACTCCAATTGGAGTCCAATTGAAGCGGAACCCCGAGCTCATTGAATTACTTTGTGGCTAAACAAAGACAGATCGCATCGTGGGTTTTTTCGGCACTTTATTGCATACAAACATACGCACACATGTGTATTTACAAATATATATTGTGTGTATATATATTCAACTGTGTATATGAAGTATATAGTAAATAGATTGACATCGGGAGTGACTGATTTATTTGGCAGTAACAAAATTGACATTGTCCACAGACATCAGTCGCAAACTCTCTCTCGGCAGTCACACACTCACACACATACAAAATATAGTCCCAGAGTCCCGCACCTACTTCCTGCCCGTATAGTCGATGCTGTAGGAGCCCGTGTAGATGTTCAGATTACGCAATGCTGGATGATGCTGCTCGGGCAGTCCAGCGTAGGGCCGCTGCTGCGGCTGCTGTGGTGCATAGTAGGGCTGTGGGGCTGGCGGCTGATAGAAACGCGGCTGTGGTGCAGGTGGACTGTAGTATTGTGGTGTGGGATTATAATACGGCCGAGCCGGAGCTGGAGCTGGCGCATATTGCGGCTGCTGTGGCTGCTGCTGCTGGCCACGCCCGAAGTCGCTCAGGCTAAACTTGCTGGCGGCAATGGGTCGGTTGTACTTCTGATCCTTGTAGTAGACAGAGGGATCCTCGCGATACTGACCATCATCGATTTCATTGGGTCCCAGCGGATACGGATTGTTATTCGTGAGCGTCGGCGGCGGCACATTGATGTGACTGCCAGCGGGCTCAAAGCCTCGCTTGCTGGCCCCATACTCGATTTCGCGCACCTTGCCCTGATCGTCCACATAGCCGTATTTGCCGTAGACCTCGCCATTCGGGTACTTTGTCTCGATTTTGAAGCTCTTGTCGGCCGCCTCATATCCGTACGTATAAGAGCCGTCGTCATTGTGCTTATCGATCTGCTTCAATATGGGCACGGGCGTGGTATAATCCTTATATTGCGCATACGCCATGTGTGCGGCCAGCGCCAACAGCAATAGACCATGTTTAATGAACTAAAAAGAGAAAATGATCTTATTGAGTATATTTTTCTAGTAGAATATAAGAAGGCTCAGATAATAAGGGAAATGGACAAATATTTAAAAAATTGTAGAAGTTATTGTCAGCAGATTTTAATTATTAAAAGGCGTTTAAAATTTAATGTGTACAATGTTATAAGTTCGAATATTGTTCACATATTTAGATTAGGTATTCAAAAATTTCATTTTCCAAAATTATAACGGCAAATTAAATTCTTCTAGAAAAAGCCTTTTATTTTAAAATTACTTGGAAAAAAATGTTTATTTTAAGTAGTTTTATTCCTTAATTAAAAAAAAAAAAAAAAAATTTAAATCTTAAAAAGAGAAATTTTTGAATACCTAATCTAAATATGTGAACAGTAATATATATATGAGGAATATTGAGCAAATATTTTTATTTTAATTTTTTAATTTCTAACATAATGAATATTAAGCAAACATTTTTATTTATATTTTTAATCAATTATTTTAAGCAAATATAAGCATTGAAGAAAGTTTATGTATAATAGAGGTAAATAAAATATACATATTAGAATTAAGATAATGAAAATATGCATATGGAGCAACTAATAAAACATTCATGAGTTCATCTTAAAAAAACATACATATTGATTTGAATTTGCAAAATAATTATTTTAATACAATAATAAAATCAATGTATATAGACAAACAAATTAAAAGAATTGCCCGAAAATTGCTAAATATATATATAGTTTAACAAAATACAAAACTCAATAAATATTTTGAAAAAATTACAGTCTTAGCTTACATTACAAGACAGCATCATATACAGTCTCGAAACTCAAACTTAAATGTTTGTAAATTATAACTATGAAAAATTTTCCAATTATTATCGTATTTTGCTCTTAACTCAGCTCAGTTTGTATTGCTCAACTACGCATTGGCAAACAAATGGAAAGTGTTTTTTATTGCATAATTATATTTCCAATTGGCTTAAATTGATTAACATTTAGTGGCTAATTAGCTTTAGTTAGCTGCAGTCGACTGCATTCCATTAACAGCTTATCAAGGACGTTGCTGTCAGTTGATTTACATACATGTATGAAAGTATACATATACATATACATACATACATATACATACATACATATGTAATTGTATAAATATTTAGAGAACTCAACTCAAAATAAACTTTAAACACTCTTTATTGAAACCGGTTGACAATTGTCAATTGCATTCGTAGCTGGATTATATTCTAAATGCATTTCGTCTGTATTCGCGCTTCACTTTTCTTTCTGTCATTTGTTTTGCTCACCAGTTTCAGCATTTTCTCTGTTTCGTTTTCACCAATCTCACGCCTGGGCTTAAATTTGCTTAAGTGCGACTCGTGACTCGAGACTCTGCGCAACGAAACGACAACTCAAAAGAAAATCAGGGCGTGCAACGCTTTTATACCACAAATCGAGCACTGAGCACAACAGCAGACACAGCAACAACAACAACAAAATATAATAAAAGCTAAATAAGTAAATTTCAAGTAAAACTCTCGAGCCGAAGTCGAGCGAGACTCAATTACTACATTGGCACAGGTGGGCAGCGATCAGCTGCGCGTTTTATATACATACATACATACATATACATACATACGAAGCCAGTGCCCCGAGCCGAGAATCGAGTGCTTATGGAACGCCCCAATAGAGACAGCACCCGAACACCCCAGCTGTACCCCTTGGAGAACGCTATCGGCAATCAGGTTATTAAAGTCAAAACAAAATTCTTAGCGTCAACAATTTATGCTGCCAGCCCGCGCACACGCATATGCAATGAGCACGCCCCGCTCAGTGCCCGTCCTCCTAGGGTATTGCATGCGGAAGCTTTCTGGAGCAACACTCGACTCAGAAGTCTAGCAATGCGAGTTATGCAAAGCATTTGCCTGAACAACATGCCGATTGGCCATTTAGCGAGATGAATAACTAATAATAAAAACCAAAACGTTTGCTCTGCTCTTTCTGTTAGCCATTTCTTTGGGCTTTTTTCGCAACTAGCCAAAAGCGAATCGGAATGAAAGAGCCAACTGACCTAGTCAATGCTTTGCAATAGCCACAAAACTGGTTGCTGGCAGGGCAACAGAGAAATGCAAATTGTGTATACATAATAGTATACCCTGTAACCAGGGATAGCTGTGCGATAGGGTAACATGCAATGGCCGAGTTTATTCAAACAGCTGTTTAGAAGAAAGTTGTTTGACTATATGTATGTATATGCTTGTGTATAGTATGTATATAGCCTGTAAAAATATTCTACTTTGCCTAGCGATTACTCATTGATGTCAAGTTTATCTATATTGAAATTAGTATGATTTATTAAAATACTTAAGAGTTCTATAGTCGGAAATGCCCGACTAAGAGCTACCCTGCAGTCTGCCAAGAGTTGCTATTCCAGTCATTCTAAGTTTCTACATACAAAGCAAGCAATACACACACACACATATTAGCGAGCACTCTGCTTATTGCGCAGTTTTCGGTCTAAGCTTTATCAATTCTTGAATAACTTATATTCTAGTTTTTCTTCTTATATGAAATTAGCAGAACGTGATAAGAACATCCATATGCGTATATTCGCCAAAGCAAAAATCATTCATTCAAATTTAGCAGACGGATGGAGGGAGTATCTATAATCTATGTATTCAAATAAGTAACTGTTCGCTTTTATGTTTCTCGACTATAATAGATCAAGTTATAGAAGGATAAACTATCTAATTTGTAACAAATATTTAAAGTTTCAAGTCACTAGCTATTACACTTTATCAGACCTCATATGGAAGTACAACCAGAAATGCTTTAAGCGACTTAGCTTGTCGGCTTGGTAAAGAGCGCATATAATTTAAACATACCTCATTATATGTATTTTCCAGTATGAGGGTATGATAATATAGTAAAGATAATTCATGAAAATATCATATTGGCATCTACACAAATGTATATGTAATTCTACATAAGTAAGCTAAGAAAGCAAACATGTTATGGATATATACCCCCATATGCATTATAGGGTATTTTCAAGTCACTATTTTGTATTAGTTTGAAAAAAGCTGTTAATTTGTGTTTAAGAGCTATTTTATTTATGAGCCGAATACTTAATATGTGTCTCTCGTATTTGTGAGCTTTAGAGCCTTATTGAAGTGTTTTTCTATGCTAATGTACTTTGGCCAAATGGACTTTTTAAGAATGAGCTTCAAATAATTATTCAACGTCCTTGAACAAATACTTGGCTGGCAAATATCGAAATACTTTAGTAAATCGATCCTCCAGAACGCTGTCAAAAGTTTGGGTCAGAACGGGCCGCAAGATTTCAAACAGAACGCGCCAATTCTCATTGAAGATATCGTTGGCACTACGTTCCAGTTCCTTATTGCCATTAAATAGATTGGTTAGATTAATGCGAATGTTGTCGATGCGTGCGATGTCCGTCTTAATTGCGGTCACATTCATGAATGTGATGCCCTCTGCCTGCTGTGGCTGCATTCGGAATGCCACATAGAACTCCAGATTGTCTGAAAAACAGATACATAGTTTACCTAACTGCTTTCCGTACAGACATGGGATATACTAACCCAACTCGGAGGTCAAAACGCCGGTGCTGTTAAGATTGAGTAGGAGTACATGCCCCTTCAGCTTGTATTTGCTCGTCAAATTGATTTGTGTTAGATGCACATGAAAGCCGAGATTATAGTGGCCAGTGTTGTACAACGTGCTACAAACAGGATTGCTTTTTTTACAAAACTGAATTGTACATTACCCAACGTTCGCTACTTACGTGCTGTTCAGTATCTTGGCCTGGCTGAGACCCACTGTGGTCATATTTCGCAACTCCACACGCACATCCACATTTGGTGGCACTCGCTGGGCAATGCGCAAGCGATTCACCCGAAATGGATCCAGAGAGCCAACACCGCTGAGGCCCGGTACGCCTATATATAAAGAGAAAGTGGTTAGTGGCGGATAATACATATATGGAAATCCTATTGGAACTTGCAAGTCCTGCATAAATATTATTGAGTGTTGGGAAACGTATATGATATATTGTATTATAAAGAAAATTAAATGGAAATGATTCTTTTCGTATTTGTACATATGTCTATAGAAACAGTTTTAGTTTTAGAAAACTTTTGAATATATATTTAACGAAATTCGCATAAATCATATTGAAATTTACAGCCCATACACATGTTCATATCACTCACCATTCCGCCAGTGTTGAAAAATGTTTTCAATATTCCTAGCCAAGCAGTCGTTACTCTGGCTATCCTTCAGTGCGCAAGGCTTTATAAATGTGGCTAAAAGACAAGTCGAAAATAAAATCAAAATTGAGTCCCAAAGAAAATCATTTGCTATAGTAAAACAAACGTGGTTCAGGCAGAAACTTTTGCGATTGCACCACAACAAAGCTCAGTGGTGCAACAAGTGCCAAATAGAAGACAACTATCAGATTGGGCTGCATTGCTACCGCTTCAGTTGGCCGCTCACCATGGACTGGCGGTCAACAAAAAAATACAAAATGAGCTATTCAACCAATGGCGTTAGCAATAAGCGTTAAGCTTTTCGATCGGTGCGACTATAGTATATGTATTATGTTGTATGAAGAGCGAGGGTTTAACAGCCCCGCAGCCACAGACCTTGATCTGAGTGGCATCGTCAATCATTTACAATATACGCGAGAGAGACAGAGAGAATTAAAACCTTTTGACACACAAACATCGTGTAACTAATGTTGACTAGCTCAAGCTAAGAAAAACATGAATAAAATTATTCAAATTATCGTAAGTAAATGTATAAATATTAATCATAAAATAGATAAGCATCTGATTCAAATGGCTTCCTCCAGACTAAAATTATAATGTGACACACTCTTACTACAAATATTTATGATTTCCAGGGCATAATAAACCATGGATGGAAAGTTATATAGGCTGCTTAAAAAACTACAATTTGTTTATATAAATTAAAACTTTTTAAATTTTATAAAGACTTAAAATATATAGTAGATATAACTCAGCTAGTCTTTAAATGGAATTTTTTAGAAATGTAAATAAACAAATATATATATGGGCTCCGCCGTAAGCTAAAGCGGTAAATGTATATCAAAAATTAATTTTTAAATAAAAATACATTAATCGGAAATTAAAATTAGGCTGTGTAAAAACAATGTCATGAATTCTGGTTTGGCTGAGTCTATCTTGTTATAAAATTGATAAGGCTTTGAATGGATTGATATAAATTATTTACGTCAATTGAACATTTCATTGCATTGCATCTTAGTTCAAGTACCCTCAACATAAAAAACCGATTAAAAGGTCAAGGTCGTTGAGTGCACTCGCAGCTAATTTAAATATGAGCGAAAAAGATGTCAAGAGTAGGTGCGAAAGAGAAGATAGAGATTACTGCAAATGTTATTATTAAATACTCATATGGCAAGATCACCCTGTATGATGCAGACAAGTCTAACGCCACAGAACTCGTTTATTTTTGAAGTCAATTAAACCAAAACTGTGAACTTGAGAAAGAAAACAATAAAATAAAAATATACAAGTTTATATATAACGATATATATATATATATAATTCTGGATTTCTGAATTTCATTTGGWGTATAAGATATAATGACTGCACTCCCGCAATATCAGAACAATCGTCGCTTTCAAGCTAAGCTAACAATATTTTCTTTGCGCTTGCATTGCATTGCATCTTAATTTAAAAATGTACAAAGTAAAAAATTGTAATGGTTTCTTCCTTTTGGCTATATCCATGTTGATAGCTCTGACTAAAGCCTCCAATTATCTGGCGGAGAAACGTAAGTAACAACAACTAGAATATTAATAGTTTGCTCAAATTTTGATTTCGGATTCTTCTAGCCAATTTTTTAACGCCTTGCGTCCTGGAAGATCCACAGTTTAGCAAATGTCTGTCCAGCAATATGCAGAACATGTTCGTCGAATGGAGGAATGGTATACCCGGCACAAATGCCGTGGGCTCCTTTGATCCACTACTCGTGAAGCGTATCAAATTCTCACAGAACACAAACAGCGCCATTTCGCTCAATGCGGATATGCAGAATGTTTATATCAAAGGCGCCCGACTGCTGACCGTGAAAGAGGCCAGGTGAGCTTTCAGAAATTAACTCAATCTAAAAATATATACCCTGTAATTTAATATATGTAGAATTTAGAATCAGTAATGCAATTATTTGTGCTTCTTTAGCTACAATCCCTCTAAGCATGTTGCTGCAGGCCTGGTATTTCTGCCCAAATTGCGTTTTGATTTTGACTACAAGGTGAAGGGTCAAGTGCTGGCCCTACCTCTGAATGGCCATGGCAACGGTCACTTCGAGATAGGTAAATTAACCAAATACATATAGCTTAAGAGGTGAAATCATGCTATGTTCAATTCTAGAAAATTTGGTCAGTAGCATGGAATTGGCTGTCAAGCCGCGCATCTCTGATGTAGGAAATTTCGCCGATGTGCAACGGGTGAAAATCTCGTTAGCGTCGATCGGTAAATTCCACATTAAGCTTAACAATCTATTCCCCAACAACCCCGAGCTGAGTGATGCAGCCCATACGATATTTAATGAGAATTGGCGTGACCTCTACCAAGTGCTTCAACCAACAATTCAGCAGACCTTAAATGCGATTATACTGGATCGTACGAAGAAGATATTAGGCTATGTTCCGGCAACCTACTTTATAAAAAATTTTCACTAATTAATAGATGGAAATATTGTCAAATTTTGATGATGAAAGATGAAATATATTCTCTGAATAAATATTAACGTGGATGTGTTCAAATCTTAGCTTAGTGGCTAATCCTTAAAACTAATACATGTAGAGTAAGGTAAAGAAAGGGGCAGAAGGGGAAATAAATAGACGGCCTGAGTGAAGAAGAGTGAGAGAGGAAGAAAGGGAGCAAGACATGTAAAAATAACTTAAACTAGTAAAAAATTGCAAAGTGATACAACACCAAATAAATATTACAGATCAACAAATAATAATAATAAAAGCTAAATAATATATATATGCACAGGCCCTTCAAAATAAATCAGACAACAATTTATATATTTCAATAACCTCACATCTGCAAAATAGATATAATTTGCTTAATAAATTGAATGACACTTTTTTATCTCAACAAATATAATTATAGTGTAATTTTCCGATTAGATGTAAAATTATTTATATATACATAGCTAGTTAAGCATATACAACTATACAAGCTCGCATTGATCGCGTAGACACTTCGATTTAAAACTGCCTGACATTAAGAATTGTTTAATTGTGAGCTCAAAGCTCAGCGACGAGAACGTACTGCCTCCATTCCGTCCGCATCTCATATATGGTGTGGCACAGTTTGATGTAATCGAGCTGCACTGTCAGTTGGATTCGCATTTAGATACTCGCCGGACGTCATGATGAAAAGTTCGTTTAGCCTTTGCTGCGGACTGCTTGCTGCAGTTTGTATACTGAACGGGGTCGTCGCCGTGGAGTACTACACGGAGAAGCGTAAGTTGGCCAATGGATAGGCCTTCGAGTCTGCCTCGATGCAGTTGACACTCTTATATAACGCACGTCCATCATTAGCATCGTGGTTGCCCTCGTGCCGCATCTATGAGCCGGGCTTCACCAACTGCTCCACGCACAGCATACAGAAGCTGGTGGATCAAGTGGTCATTGGCATACCGGAAGTTGTAGAGGCCATCGGACCCTTCGATCCCATGCATGTGAGGAATATCTACTTTAAGCAGGACAACAATGAGGTGGCCACAATCAGTGCCAATCTGACCGATGTGATAGTCAAAGGTTTCACCAAGACCATAATCAGGGAAAGCCGGTGAGTAGTTGACCATTGAACATTATCAACATATATTTATATCTTGAATATAATACAAATAAAGTCTATGACTAAGCACAAATAATGAGTTAGTATATATATTCATATATATACTTGATATTGACTTAATATATGCTCATAGCGTTAGCAAAAAGGACTTTGGCTGGCAAACCAAAGTCTATCTGCCCAAAATGCGTCTGGATGCGACATATCAAATGGCCGGTCGCATACTCCTAATACCGTTGAGTGGCACAGGTCACTTTTACATAGAGATCGGTAAGTGTGCATCATTCAGAATCTATCAGAATTAATCATAGTCATGGTCAATAACCTTAGAGGATCTCGATGTACTGCTGCTGACCACAACGCGACTGTATGAGAAGGGCGGCTTCACCTTTGACAATGTGACCGCGGTGCGCGTTAAGCTGAATATGTCCCGGGTGCATACCGAATTGGATAACCTATTCAATGGACGCAGCCCGGAAGTGGCGCGCAGCACGAATCAGTTCTTCAATGATAACTGGCGCGACTTCTACGAGGCGCTGAAGCCCCTTATACTGGAAACTGTGTCGAACATATTCTATGAAATCATGTCCAAGGTATTCCATCTGATACCGGCTAATTTCTTTATTGAGGATATTCCAACGCCCCAGCAGCTCTATGGCAAAAACCAATAACATAAATGATAATTATAATACTCATGAAAATAAAATAAACTCTGATCAGCCCATTCCATATTACACTTAACACAAATTTCAATTTCTGCCCTCGTTTAGTAAAATGTTTGTTGCATTTCATTTACATGAATTGCAAACTGCATTTAAGCATTATAAACTGGATATTCTGACGCCAATTAACATGCATATATTATAGGTAATTAATTCTTACATAAATTATTTGCAATACTTGATATTTGATTCCACATCTTGAAGGCTGAAAGACTTATCAATATAGCTCTAAGCTTGAGTTGGCATCACCTCGATTTACACAAAAGTCAATATTATGGCGTATATATACTACGGTTAGATTGAGGGTTAACAATTTCTATTATTTCAACAATTTTCACATATATGGTCAATGTCAATACCATAATAACAGAAACTAATATAATAATCCACATGTAATATACCATCTGTGCCATTAGGGCTTGGACATTCCACTCCTTCCTTCATGACCTAGCCATCGTAGCATACACATACATCTGGATATGCACAGTAGCCATGGACGCACTTCTGCTTGCACTCAGGCAGACAAAGCAATCTGAGAGTGTTCTTACTATCTACGGTCAAATAGTAGTGCTCCTCACAGGAGCACTGTCCCTCCAAAAAAGTTCCATTCCAGCAACGTTCCTCACACGTCATCAGTCCCATGTCCGAAATTTCTGTTATCTCTGTCGTTGCGGTACTTGATCTCGTTGCGTCATCCGATATGGCAACACAAGCAGTTCCATTAAAGGCGAAACCCTCAAAGCAACTACAGTTGTTAGGCGATGCACAGAAACCAGTGGAGCACCCGGGCTCACAAACTGGGGTACAGCTGTTTTCAGTGACTGGAGTAAATCCTTCGTTACAGCTACATTTCCCTGGAGCACTACAGAGTCCGTTCTCGCAATTTGGGCAATCCGGCAGACACATGGAGCTACTCACTTTGACATATCCTGGTTGACACTCGCAGTCATTTGAGGCCGAGCAGACAGGCACACAACTGTTACAGCAAGAAGACGATAATTTAAATATGTATATGCATTATGTGTTCGTCTGCTATCGACTCACGGATTCGGTGAAATATGCTGATCATTAACATAGCTTTTAAAGCACTTACAAACATGAGGCTTAATGCATTTACCGTTCACACAATTCGCACAAATAGGCTTACATTCAAAATGCGTTTTGGTCTTTGGAGTGCTCTCGTAGCCCCTGCAGCAATCAGAGATTCTTGTTTTCTATGTTTGATTAATTGATTACATACTCGTTCATAGTCGTATCACAACTTTAAAACTTACTTTACCCTTTCTATTATACGCATACTTTGTACAAATCTGTGCCAAAAGGCAAGTGGGTAAAAGAAAATATATGAATATATTCTGGACTAACATCTTCGATCAATTAGACTGTAAGACTGAAGAGAAAAAATTGCAGTGTGAGTATCGCAGATTTAATTACATAACTCAGTGCTTATATCACTTATCACTTATTCATCCGAGCTTTCACTACAGTGCACTGGCGGGAAGTTCTAGATGGTCATAAATAGGGCTGCATATTGCTCAACATAAGTTAATTTGTAAAGAACTACTCTGAGCTAATATGAAACGTTATTCTCTATACACATACATATATAAGTCTATTTATATTTTCTTCCAGTGTAGCCTTATCAGAGAGTGTGCGCTAAGAAAAGCTTATCGACGGCTTCAATATGCGTAAACAGACTGTCAGACCGGGTAATTCTCGGGTAATTCCCTGAGTTCATATATACAATCAGTTGAACAAAAAATCTATTTCACATTTTATGTTTAGATCAAGTGCTGCTTATAGTACACTCATATATTTAATAAGCTAGCGATCAAATCTGTAAATATCTATAACAACTAAGAACAGTCAATAGTCTCCGACTAGCAAATAACCTACCTTTGACCGATATGCGTTTCCCAAACGAGGTCTATTCAAAAAGTACTGAGACTTTATTTTTAGTTTTTCGAGTGTTCTCTTCGTTATTTCAATATCAATTTTTTTTTTAGGTAATTCCCGATAGATACATATTTTTTATGATTTTGTTCAGCTCCTCTTTCGATGCCGTCATTAGCTCATCAGTCATACTTTCATGGGTCTCTTCAGATTATGGAACAAGAAAAATAATATAAAAACAAGTAAGAAAGCTCCAGTCGAGACTGCTCGACTAGGAGATACCCTGAACCCTCCAAGCTGATATTCTAATCATT